GTAATATACAAGAGGTGATCGCTCGACGAAGTAAGTACGTAGGCGCGCCCTAGACAGTGTTCCCTAGTCCCCGTAGTCTATTGACTATTTGGTATGCTTTTATAGAGAGGTTTCTTACGTGACTCTTAAATATGAGTTTACGGTCGAAGTAAACGCCGAGCTAGCGTAGAGAAGAGCCTTCTTTGATAGCCTGAACTGTATGATACCTCCCATCCGGCAAACCTACTGTGATTAATAGGTTTCCGTCTTTTCGTCTCTTAGTAAAGTGGATTAGTTCGGACTTATCGAGGTTAAAAGTGATTCCTTCCGTCGCGCCCCATCCTAAGGTTTCTTTCTATTCCTTGGTTAGGATGTCACAGTTATTCTCTAGTAATGTTAAGCTTACTAAGATAGCGACGTCATCGGCGTAGCCGAAACGAGATCGCTTCCTTCCTAGGCGAGCTATGCCTAGCTTAAAAAGAGGTTCAATATAGAGCATGAATAGAATGGAGACACGGGTGAGCCTTGTAGTAGTCCGCATTCGAGACCGAAGACGTCTCCTACCTCCCCATCAAGCTTATTCTTGCTCTCCTTCCGGTAACAAAACTTAAGACCCAGCGTACGAGGTTCTCCGGCCATCCTTGTTCGTAGAGGCGTCGGACTAGTCGTCCTAGGAGCACGGCGTCGAAAGCCCCTTTTATATCGAGCATAAGCATAGAGGTAACCAGGCCTCTTTGCCAGGCGCACTCGATGTCGTAGATAGCCGCTACGATGAGGTCGCTACAAGAGCGAAGAGGGAGTGCTCCAAACTATTGATCGTGCAGAACACGATGTTTAACTACGATCCAGGCAAGTCGTCTGGCGATAAGTCTCTCCAAGCCTTTTCCGAGGACGGCCAAGAGCGCAATTGGCCTATAGGAGCGCGGGAGTGTCTTGTCTCTTTTTCCCGGTTTTGCTAGGATCACGAGAGTTGCTTCTTTAAAACAAGTAGGATACCAACCCTCGCGTATACACCCGCTATAAAGTGAGAGGACAATATCCTCGATAACTGGCCATGCTATTTTCAAAGCAGTCGTAGTGATTCCGTCGGTCCCAGGAGTCGTGTTTCCCGCGGTGAGAACCGAAGACCGTACCTCGTCCTTCGTAACCTGCGGGAAAGGAAGCGTAGCTTGCCTTTGTAGGACTGGGCTTTCTGTTGGTATGTCCTCGGAGATTGCAGCGTTTCTAAGGAGGACGCGGGTAAATAAGTCGCGCTTCTCTTTTGGTTGTGAGACAAGCGTGTCTTGGTTGTCTACATCTCGGAGTGGCGGGGTCTGAAAGGATCCTGTGGCTTTGTGCCAACCGACCATTTCAAATATGTCTTTGCTTGAGGAGGCTGAGGAGATCTTATCTTTCCAAAAGGCATCCTTGGAGCGTTTAAATTCGTAGAGGAAGTCCTGTTTTAGAGCTTCGACCTCCTCTTCTTCCCATTGGCAGTTCACTCCGGCTGCGCGGAGTCTTGCTAACATCGCTCGCTTACTCGCATAGGCTCGGTGTTTACGTGTGCAGCTCTCGCTCCAGTATGGTCTCCCTGTACCTTTCCCGAGCGTGCGCTTTGTGGAAGCCGTGAGTGCTTTAATAAGACAGTCCGTAAGCTGTTGTGCTAGGAGATCTAAAGACTGTGGGTCTTGGATGTTGCTTGCAGTGCGGCGCATGGGTTGTAAGTTGCGTTTAATGATGCCGAGGAAAAGCTCCTCGTCCATCGTGTCGAGCCGAAACCTTCCCGGCGTCTGGCTGGGTGAATCGATCAGGGCCAAGGGGACCCGGGTAAGCAGAGATTCGTGGTCTGATGTCGTGTGTAGTGACGTTTCTATGCTGGTGGAAGCCCCATGGAGGTTGCTGGACGCCCAGCATAAATCTAGGGTGTTGCCGCCTTTGTGCGTGGGTTCACCTATAGGTGACATTAGGACAAGGCTAGCGGCTTCTGCCCATTCTACTAGGTTTTCAGCGTCCGGGGAACTCGTGGCCTCGGGCTGCCACGTCCAATGGTGTAAGTTAAAATCCCCCGCAATCAGTACTCGATCCTCAGGTTTGGGTTGCCAGGCCCCTAGGATGTTCCTGAGAGCCTGGCCAGATCGCAGAGAGCCACGAGGGGCGTTGTATACGTTGATGACTGTGAGGACCTCCTTTGTTCCTGAGAGGAGTCGTAAGAAGAGCAGGTCTGTGGATGGATCGGGTAGAGGCCGTATTTGTACGCCTCGTACCCCAGTTCCTCTGCGGAGGTAGGTAAGTACCCTGGGACGGTCTTCGGTCCAGTTATCTACTGGGGTGAAAGTCTCAAAACCTGGGTGGTGTCTTGTGAGCCTCCTCTCTTCCGAACGGATAGACGGCTCTTGTATTAGGAGTATATCGATCTGGGCTGCGTAAGCCAGGTTCAGTGCTGTTTCGTGGCGGATGCCCGCCTCCCACATTCGCTTGCATGATTTGCAGGGTTTTAGAGGGCTGTATTCTTCTTTTATGTCTCATTCGCCGGGGTACAGTCCATCGCTTATTCTTCTTCACGGGAATGTCGATACGACTGCTGGGTCGCATTTCTCCATAATCTTTCTCCCTCAGCTCGGATAGCCCGTAGCTAAGCCTTATCCCTCCTCTGGACTACCCCCTTCACCACTTTAGGTTAGATAGGGCAAGTCGCATCGAAGGCGGCGTGAGGCCCGTTACACGACGGGCATTTAAAGGGGCAGTCGCAGCCATCGTGACCCTCAGTGCCGCCGCAGGGTGCCCGGTGTTGATCTGTTGTGTAGGAAGGAGAGCTGCACTTGAGGCATCTCTTCCTTCTGGTGCACGTTCGTTCGTTATGAAAACCGCCGCAGCGGAGACATTAAAGAGACCTCTTCTCCTTCGGGAACTACAGGTTTACAAAAACGCTGGCCCCCATCAAACGGAGGCGTCTTGGTAGTTACCTTACGGCTTCCGCCTTGAACCAGGCTATCACCGTGCCTAGCCTTTCGACTTCGTCCTTCCTAGAGAAGTATGCTTTTTCAGGCTTGAGTTTCGTCGAGACCTAGATCTCTTCAAGGAGCTCCTCGGTCGTGATTTCCAGCTCAGTGTTGGTTACCAGACAATGCCTGGTGTAAGGGACGTTTACGATATAGGCTCGGATCCAGGTATCGCATTGCTCGATTGCTTGCGCTTAGAGAAGGGCAGCGATCTGTTCTCTGTTCTCTAGCAGGACTTTTGCACCTTCCATTGACGAAGGTAGGAGTGCTAATCCTATCTTAACATGGTCGATCCCCTTGAGGGCTTCTCGGGCTTGGGGACTTAGCCTTTCCCGAACGAAGATGTATATGTCGTAGGCTTTCTCGTTCCGAAGCGGGCTTTTAGGCGATAGACGCGCGAAGACGCGTAGATCCTTTAAGGCCGCCCGGTTTGTAGCTTGTTTTACGGCTTGTTTAGCTGGCGTTGGTTCATCCTGTCTTCTGGACAGTGGCTGGCTCGCCGCCGCCGCGTATGAACGGACTGGGGGCGGCTGGTTCTGGGTTGTGTGCGAGGGATGCCCCTGGGAACTCAGGTCAGTCTCGCTAGGCCCTGTGCTAATAGCGTGCATAGACCTTGCTAGACCACGTTGATGCCGGTTTGAACGCTGTTTCTCCTCCTGAAGCTCTCTCTCCAAGGATTCGATCTTCGTCAAACAGTCTTTCAAAAACTGTTCCCTCTCGGCGTCCCGACGCAGGAGGTCCTGGACCAGATTCGAAAGCTTATTGATCTCGTCTTTGAGCTCAGAATTGTCCTAGTGGTTGACTTGCTCAACCACTCTGACCTTTGCAGTCGGCTTCCGGACTCGTCCCGACCGCCGAGATATACCGGCGTCCCCGTGAACCGTGATCGATGGCCCTACATCTAGGGAGACCGCCATGGTCGTGGAATTCAGCTCGTATGGGCTGATGTTGAGAGATGATAGTGCAGTGGGCCGTAGCCCTCTATAACCTTAACAATTACTAATAGTGGGTACCTTTCGAGGTATGTGTTCAGAAGTTTTTTTTTGCGCTCACTTTGGGTGATCACTGTGATCACCTTATCGTGTGTTCACTTTCCTTCTCGTCACGTGACTTGTTCCATAGTTCTTCCGTTCCATGAGGAGTCACCTGAGTTCCCGGATTCTCTGCGTATATCAGGTAGATAGCCGCCGCAGGCCTGTGGGGCGGGCCCCCTGGCCTTGTTATGCATGTTGGGTTGTAACACGCGACGCCAGCATTTGATAGGCCGGCTACTTTTGCAAAATCCTCCTCTATCAGCTTACGGTATATTAGGTAAGCAGACGGATACTGGCTTCGGGGATAATTATGAGAAGAAAACCGTTTATCGGGGCGGTATCTCAAGCTCCATATACTTTTATCCAAGGATTCTTTAGCAAGCACGGAAAATTAACAACCGGTTCCCCTACTCGTGGTTCGTCTTTAGCGCGCTATTGCTTTGCTTAGGGGATAATATAACCGATCGTATAAATACGTAATTATCCGCCGTCCACTCTTCTCTTTGGTCGATCTCCCGGTCGTGAAGGCATATCCCCTTGTTACTGCCCAATTGTTAATTGCCAATATGAGGTCATCGCGGGATTCATATTCGCTTTTAGGAGGTAGACAGTCGTCTAGGAAATTGAGTGCTGGATTGTCCGGGGCTATTTCCATTCTTTTCAGAAACTTGTGGCCGAGTTGCCATGAGCAGAGAAACGTGTAGAATGACGCGAGACGCGTTCGTCCATCTGTGCCGCCAGCTTGCTTAGTCATTTTGACGGGTACCCGTGGAATTTTACATGCACGGGTACCCGTGAGCCTATTGGGAGCCCTTTATCCGGCCGTGATGACTAAGCCAGCTGTCCCACTTCGCCCAGGGCAGGTGCCAGCCAGCCCATGTGTTACGAGCTGGACAAGGCAACCAACTGTGGCACAAAGCAAAAGCTTCGATAATGATGACTCCGGTCATCATTGTCCCTTATTCTGCATATATAGCTACGCGCCCACAGTGACAAGTTGCGGCGGGCGTAACACCATGGTACCTGCCTATTACTCCTTATCAGCCTTTGCTGTTCCAACCAGGTCATATAATACAGTTTAGTAGCTAGGTTTTCAGTAGATAGTCCTGGTGGTAATACTTTTAGCGCCTACTTAATCTATGAGGTCTTTTTCACACGTGTACCTACTTGATGTGTATTTGTCTTCACGGGTAGACTCCACCTGCACGTTTTCTCTTGACTTTTCCAACGCTAAACACAATATAATCAAATACATGTAGTAAAGCGCTATCCTGGAAGGTGCTGAGCCTCTTAATACAGACATAGCCCTGTTGTAAACAGCCTCTTCATGTATTATTCCGCCCAGTATGCCATCACCACAGTGTCTCAGCCCCTAATCCCAGAAGAGAGATTCTTCAGCATGAGAACTGGAAGCATGACTTGTTGCTATCCCGAGGACAACAGACATTGGTGTTCTGATAGCAGGTTCCGCAACCGCCGGGGCAAATAGAAGGATATCCGCATGATTGGCGCGCTACAAGATGATGAAGATCAACAGAGTCTCTTGGAAGTTCTTGAGGAATTGTTGCGGCGGCCGCCAAAGCCAAATATAAGGCGAGGATGGAGAAGTGCATCTAGTTCACTGAGGTATCAGCATAATAATACCTGTCAGTCAAGTATGTTAGCTTCCACATACCGTGTAGCCCAGAACGTCGTCAGTAAAATGTTAGTCTATGTTGATCTTCGTCTGTAGAAGTTTTATAGATAGTGTCGTTGTGCCATAAGAGACAAATGCCTGCTCGTCGGAGGAAGCAAGCCTTTAAATCTAAAAGCGGTACCTGGGTTACAAGGTAAATTTCTCACGTATGGGACTGCCGACGGGCCCGAGACGATCTCCGTATTCCATGAATCAAATCTAAAGCTACTGTGTAGAAAGAGGTTTAATAGATTGGATGACATCACTCGACTGTTGTCACGGGCTGGAGCCCGGTTGAGATCTCCGGCCTTGCCGGAGCCGCACGTACACCCCTCTGCTGGGAAGCTGTCCGACCGCGACCTATAATAACCGATTATTATATTGGATTATTATATTCGGTTATACTGTAGGCTGGAGCCGGTCGAGATATCCGGCTTTGCCGGAACCACTATTCTACCGTAGTATACCGCCGAGTCCGGGTATGTGGGCAGTACACACTGCTCATCTGGACCAACGAGGCAAGCAATGAGGCAATACGACTGGTGTTGACGGTTGGTTGGTGATGTTGTGGTGAAGGTGGCTGCGATGGGCTGGATCAACCAGGAGGTGGATCAGGCAGCTGGTGCCTGGGGCACCAGCCACTGCCTCAGGTATCCACAGTCCCACAGGGTATATCATGCCATAGCTGTACGCGAACCCCTGTAATTCCTCCTTTTCCTCCTCAGCTTAGAATAGTCAATCGACGGCACCTCTACGTTGAACAAGCCTAGGGGCCAGCCCCTTACAACTGTTACGATCCTGCTATGCTGTGGATACTCATGTATAGTAATCCTTCTCGGCCTTGTGCACTGCCAACTTTCTTTTACACGCTGACGCAACCTGGCAGCAGTAGCTTGATTCGACCAACGCCTGTATCAATATAGTTAGGAATTGGATAAACACTAATCCTTGCCACAGTCGACGTCTAGCACGAAGGCTACCGAAAACTAAGGCCCGAAATTCAAACGGAGTAGAGCCGGATTGCATTCTTTTGGGTCTTTAGATAAATTAAAACTCCACACTCTCGGTAAGGTAAGTACTGATGCTGGACGATTATGTCACCAGACCCCCTCCGCCAGTGCCTAACTGCGATGCCATGGATGTACGTGAGGGAGAAGACTTAAGATATACAATTCATTTCGTTCCTTCCATCTCAAAATAGGCCAATAGGTGAATGGCCCCTCGAATTCCTTGTAAATACCTACATGATCTAAAAGCTTTATAATTCCCTGACATCTTATACACAAGGAGATCTGCTAGTATTGCATTCCTTAAAGTGCGATATCTCGGCTCAGCAGAGAAAACAAGTCCGTTGCAGATCGCTGGGTCTGAGTCAGGTGTTCTTGAAGTTTAATCAAAACTATGACGCATGTATCGGGTTTTCGGCGGAGCCCCTACCATAACACGGACTCGGGAAACGAGGAACCCGACAGCTGCTCACAATGCTGATCTTCGGTGCCGACGAGGGGTTTTTATCTCGGCACCCGTACAAAATTCCTAGTCCGTTAAGAGCTAAAACGATCCAGACATACCAGGATTAATTTGACAGCAAGGACCAGTCACTCAGGCGGTGATCAGTCGTGCGGCGAATCTAGTGGGCAAGGACATTGCTAAGAAAGTGCCGCACTCATAATGTCGTCAAGAAGTTGTGGTCAAGCTAGGCACATCTAAGTTGACTTCGCGAGACCGAGATAATGGACATTCCCGGGGATCGGTAACTTAGTGTTGGTATTCCTTTCACAGGGAATTTGGTTCGAACCGTAGGGTCCTGGGGGTGACGAAGTATCAATATCTCTGTATTGATTGATTCTGCGTGAGGAGTAGAAGGGAGATTCCAACCGGAGGTTGGGTGGGTAGTCGAGGTCTAAGTGTACCCCCTCGAGGTGGCCCATGCTCTTCCCCTACTCGCGGCCGAATTGGACTTCCAATCCGACACTGACTATCTCTCTCTTTTAACGTCTAACTGGTACGGTTGGAAGGATAATTCGAACGCTGCGAAGTCGTGTATCAGGCGTGTAAGACCAGTGCTGTCTAATGTGCCCCTTTCTCCTCCTTCCGAGGTCCCTTCCGTGTGACCCATCCCTCCATTCGTACCGTGGCCTTCCCCTTGTCGATGAAGTGTTCCAATCCCTGGTTGGGGCTCGCTTTGGCGGCGGCGTCGGCGATGGACTGTGCTGGGTAGGTGGCTCTTCGTCTTCTGCTTGTTGGTCGTCGGGTTCGTCGTCCTCATCGTCTGAGGGTGCTGCGACGATAATTTCGTCGAGGACAACTTCCTGCTCAATCTCAGGGGGTGGAGGTAGGTCTTCCCCTGGCTCTCCTCTATCTTGTGGTTGATCTGCGATCTCCTCGTTGTCGTCTCTCAAGTAGGGTCGTACAGCAGTGATCGATACCTCCAACGGTTGGTCTCGATCTCTGGCTACGACGCACGATCGCTCGTCGACGGAGATTAGTCTGAATGGTCCCGTCCATTGATTTGTAGTTGACCTCCAGACTCTCACGTCTGAGCCTAGTGGCATGTCGAGGTTCGATGAGATGTCTGGTTCATTACGTGTAGCCAGGGCTTCATTGATTTGCCTCCTCGCATTGACCTCGCGTAGCGCCTTCATGGCCTTCTCGATGCCCTTCGCGCGTTGGACTACGTCTAGTGACGGTGGTGAGGCTGTGGTCGTTCTTGGATAAGCACCGAAGACGAGGAGCGTTGGGACTAGTCCTTCTGGTCCCATGGTATCATTGCAGCATTTGAATGCTGATTGGAGGCAGTCTTCGTCAGGGGCACCGGGATTCTCGTCTTTGATTATCTTGAATGCCCTTTTCAGCTGCTGATGTGCCCTTTCCACCTTGCCGATGCTGTGATGTGCCTCGACTGGTACCACTTTCAGTTGGATGCCGTATGATTTCGCATTATCCCTGAATTCCGTGGACTTGAAGCTGGTTCCGGCATCTGTTCTTATGCCGTCAGGTGGGCCGAGGTACGTGTCGATCCACGCTCTTTTGACTGCTGCCCACACCGTCTTCGCCTGGAGGTCGTCGAGGAACTGTCCACCTTGGAATGATGTGGCCGCATCAATGATGTGAAGAGCCGGCTTGCCGTTGAGGTAGAAGATGTCGATAACGATCTCCCAGTTGAAGTGAATCTCATCTTGCAACTTGAAGCGGAATCTGCGCGGCCTTTGGGCGTTCATTTGACATTGATGGCAGATTTTCGTGATGTGCTCCAAGGCCTCGGTCTCGACGTCGTTGCCCGACTGTTTGAGCAAGTTCTGTAATCTCGGGACGGATGGGTGCCCAAAACGCTTGTGTAATCTCCTGAGCTCAACCTCGGTCAAGTAGTATACCGACCTGCTTGCGATCTCGAGCTTCATAAATGCGTGGCCCCATCGTCTTTCTACTTTTTCGAAGTGCGTGCCATTGGAGATCCGGTTCTTGAGGTTCTCGAATGTGATGCCTAACCGGTCCATATCTCTGAGGCATAACAGAAAGGGTGTATTGACCGGAAGGATATGGAAGGTCATGGTTCCGAAGGTGGTGGTGATGCTCACCGTACCAATTCCCACCAGTTGGTCCCCTGGGCCGAAGCTGATAACGGCGATGCCTGCCTTCGACCTGTCGAGCGCTGCTGGGTAGATCTTCTGTAGCGCTTCCAACTGGCCCTGTCCCCCGGTAGACCAATGTGATGCTCCGGTATCAGGGATAATCCCTTGGAAGACGTCTGGCCCGTACCTTTCCTGGGTATGGTATATCTGGGCCGTCCCCTCGTCTGGCTCATCTGGTGGATATAAAAAGGGGAGTAGTGAGGCCCCTGAGCTTGTCTTCCTTTTTTTTTCGGTACGGGTGTGATCATCCAATGCTTCTTTAGCCAGGTTGTGGTCACTCAAGGCTTCGCTTGATCCTTGGCTTCCTTCGTATAGGGCCGACGATCCCTTACTTCGTACGAATCTGCCTTGACAACCATGGAAGAATGCCTCCTCGTTGAGGGTATTGACCGCTTGCCTGTCATTCAGAGTGGAATATCCTCCTGACGATGAGGGAGCGAAGAAGACGTGTTGGACCTCGTCGACGTCGTCGAAATCGTTATCGACGATATCGTCGATTCTGTTAAGGAAGGGAGTGATGTCCTCATCGATGTCAGATTCGTGATCAGGATCCCCTTGTGTGGAAGGGCCCTTTCCCTCGTAGTCGATGAGGAATTGCTGGAATTGGCCCGGGCTCGACTTGCCCTCAGTGCCTTTCGTCTGCTTGTATTTCTCGTACGACTTATCCCTTTCCTCTTGGGTATGGCTTGTCGACCAACAGCCGTCTTTCTTGCAGACCCAGCACTTTCCGCGAGGCTGATTTCCGCGTGGCCTGAATCTTGTGGCTGCTGTTGATCCTCCTCGTGTCTCTTGCTCATTGGATCGGTTGCCGTATCTGGCTTCCTTTCCCTTGCCGTTGTATGTACGGTCGACCCAGTGTTGTTGATATGGTGCGTCAACTGCTCGGAATTGCTGTTGTCTGGGCATCCTGGCCTCGATGTTGAAACTCGACCTCAGCCGTGAGCAGAGGGTCTCGTAGTCGGTTGGCGGTGCGTGCAAAGTCATCCTTGCCTCGGGGACTCGCTGGACCGCTGTACAGAGATATCCGACTTTTCTCTCGTTGGTTCCCTCCGTTGGCTGGGTCTTGGCCAACTTGTCGATCTTGTCGATAAGCTCCTCGAGAATCTCAACGCGTGGCTTGCCCTCCATTCCGCGAGCGATAGATCCATATGAAAGTGCCCTTAGCTCGGCGAGGAGCTCGAGGCTCCTATCGTGTGTCTCGAAGCGGCTTCGGATTGCGTCAACAACGCTGAGGAAGTCTGATTTGTCGAGTGTACGCACCGCGAGGTAGTAATATTCCTTTGCCTTACCCGTGAGTACAATCGTGATAGCTGAGTGGTATTGGTGTTCCTTGATTCCTGCCTTCTCGCAGTAGTCGTAGAACATGGTCAGGGTCTCTTGTAGGACCTCGTACTTCCCCCCTGCATACTT